GCAAACACCTACTCCAAGAGGATAAACGTTAGGATCGGTGACATTTCCTGGGTAGTTGCATAAGTGCCCACATATTGTAGGTCATTACACACCCTGGTATAATCAGAAAGAGAAGTCTTATTGAAAAAGCAGCAACTCATAAAAATGTAATGACCCTCATCCTCAGAATAGCCTTGTGTGCCTCTATTATTTGATACTGAGAACGCTCAAATTGACAGTGTGTTTACAGAAGTTGCACTGCTGTAATCTATCTGTAACAGTTAGACGCCTGCTACCTGACTCAGGCACAACAGAGCCTGACAAAATATCGGCTTTTGAGCTGGGTTTGAGACAATTTTTCACAGCAAATGTTGGGGTTGGGTTTGTTATCTAATGAATGATTTTTTTATGTTCTAGATTTGTTTTCATTTGAAGAAATCAATGAACCATTACAAACATAATGTACAGTGCTGTGAAAAAGTATTTGGCCCTTCTCAATTACTTCTATATTTTTGCATACCTGTCACACGTGAATGTTTCAGATCATCAAACTACTTTTAATATTATACAAAGATAACTAAACACAAAATGCTGTTTTTAAATGATGATCTCATTTATTGAAGGAAACATGCTGTTCAGCCCTACCTGCCCCCTCAGCTACTAAATTAACCAGTTAACCAAATTCAATTGACAACTGGGTTCAATTTCACCAGACACACCCAGGCATGATTACTGCCAGACCTGGTTAATCTAAACATCACTTAAATAGCACCTGTCTGGCAATGTGAAGCAGACTAGAAGGTCTTAAAAAGCAGCACATGATGCCACATTCTAAAGAGATTTAAAAATAAATGCAAAACAAAGTCGCCCATCTGGAAAGGGTTACAAAGCCATTGCTAATGCTCTGTGACTCCAGTGCACCACAGTGAGAACCATTACCCACAAATGGATAAAACGTGGAACAGCGGTGAAACTCCCCAGGAGTGGCTGAGCACAACAATGACTCATCCAGGAGGTCAAAAAATAACCTAGACGAACATCTAAAGAACTGCAGGCCTCACTTGCCTCACTTAAGGTCAAAGTACATGACTGAACAACAAGAAAGACTTTGGGCAAAAACTGCATCCATTTGAGAGTTGCAAGGCTCAAACTACTGCCGGCTAAAAAAGAACACAAAGGCTCATCTCACATTTGCCAAAAACATCTAGATGATCCCCAAGAATTTTAGGGTAATATTCTGTGGACTGATGTGTCAGAGGTAGACCTTTTTAGAAGACATGAGTCTCGTAACATCTGGCTGAAGCTAACACAGAATTCCACTCTAAGACCGACAGTCAAACATGGTGGTGGTAGTGTGATGGTCTGGGGCTGCTTTGCTTCTGCAAGACCTGGACAACTTCTTGTTATTAATGGAACCATGAATTCTGCTCTTTATCAGAAATTGCTGAAGGAGAATATCCACCTATCAGTTTGTGACCTAAAGCTCAAGCGCAGTTGGGTTATGCAGCAGGACAAGGATATGACACACACAAGCAAGTCCACATCTGAAAGGCCCAAAAGAAACAAAATTAAGGTTCTGGAGTGGCCGAGTCAAAGGCTATGTTTACACAGCAGGTAAAAGTGGCCCAAATCCGATCTTTTTCCTCAAATGTCAAGTCTGAACAGCCAGATCGGAATTCATGCGACTTTTACGTCAGTACAACTCGACATTCATCATAATTTCGCGCTGCTGAGACTGGATAATAAATATTTAGTCTGATGTTTCTGTACTAAAAAATTATAAGAGACTCATCGCAACCACTCCGTGTTCAAACGGAACGGCCGAACACGGCCGGAGGAGCCCGAGGCTGCAGTGTCAGAGAACAGTTTAAAGAATCCGAGGACACGAACCAAAGAAGTGGACGAATAACGAGCTCTTTTTACAGCAAACTCGAACACATTGTGGGTGATGAGTCCAGCTGTCAACCACTGGAATTTTAGAATCGCTCCTGTGATGCTGGCAAAGACGAAACTGAAAGCTGCGGGAGCGACTGGCGTTCACTGGGCGTCATGACTGTTTACCTCTGGGCGAGCCGCCACGTGAAGCACTGTTCTTTTGCGCATGCAGGTCGGTTTAGGAGCTGATCTGTTCAGACTGATGTCGCATACAGGTCACATTTAAAAGATAATGTGAACAGCCAAACAAAAAATCGGATTTGGTGAGAAAATCTGATTTGGGCCACTTTTACCTGCTGTGTAAACGTAGCCAAAGTCCTGACCTGAATCCCACTGAGATGCTGTGACATAACCTTAAACAGGCAGTTCATGCTTGAAAACCCTTCAATGTAGTCAAATTAAACAATTCTGCAGAGAAGAGTGGGACAAAATAACTTCACCGCGATGTGAAAGACTAATGGTAAGTTATCGCAAACGTTTGATTGCAGTTGTTACTGCCAAGGGTGGCACAACCAGTTATTAGGTTTAGGGGGGGCGATTATTTTTTTGCATGGCTGATATAGGTTTTGAATAAATCTTTCTATGCAATAAATGGAATGATCATTTAAAAGCTGCATTTTGTGTTAACGGTGTTGTCTTTATCTTACAACCCCAATTCCAAAAAAGTTGGGACATTGTGTAAAATGTAAATGAATGTAAATAAAAAACAGAATAGACCCATATTTTATTCACAATAGAACACAACACATATCAGATGTTGAAAGTGAGACATTTTGCCATTTCATGAAAAACATTAACTCATTTATAACTTGATGGCAGCAACGCATCTCAAGAAAGTTGGGACGGGGCAACAAAAGGCTTGAAAAGTAAGTGGTATTAATAAAAAATAGCTGGAGGAGCAATTTGCAACTAACTCACATGACTGGGTATAAATCATTATCTGTGAAAACAGTTCGTCGCTGCATCCACAAATGCAAGTTAAAGCAGTATCATGCAAAGAGCAACCTACTGAAAACATGTCGCACTTTATGAAACAAATACAACAAAAGAGACCCTGAACTGTTGAGCTGAAATTCTGTGTCAAGTAAGAACGGGAAATCATCTCACTTTCAAAACTACAGCAGTGTCTCCTCAGTTCCCAAATGCTTACAGAGTTTTGTTAAAAGAAGAGGTGATGAAACACAGTGGTAAAAATGCCCCATCCCAACTTTTTTGAAACGTGTTGCTGCCATCAAATTCAAAATGGGCATATATTTTTCAAAAAACAATAGATTTTCTTAGTTTTAGCATTTGATATGTTGTCTTTGTACTATTTTCAAATAAATATAGGGTTTTAATGATTTGCACATTACTGCATTTTGTTTTCATTTACATTTTGCACATCATTACTTTTTTGGAATTGGGATTGTTTGGAATTAGTCGCATTTAAATGTGACAAATTTGTAAAAATAGAAAGAATCAGGTGAGTGGCAAATACTTTTTCACAGCACTTTATGTGTAGAACAAAGCCTGGCTAAGGTCTTGCTAACTGTTCGCCATGGACAAAAGAGAAAGAAAGCTTGCTGAAGGGGAACTGTTATTCCAAATGAGTCAGGGACATTGTCTCTGTAGGAACATTATGACCTGGGTGTTATATCAGACGAAAAGCACACTGGTCTCATACAGTGTAGAGGTTGTGACAGTATTTTATACTATGATAGCCGGACTGTTACGTCATCTCTTCAGCGACTCATTGACTGTGGATGCTGTTGTACTGCAGCAGCTATTAGCCAGAAATGATGTCAGTGTCAGAGTCCTTCCTCACACCAGCTACATGGGAACCACATATTTTAAAATTTCATAGTCATTCAGAGTGGTTTGATGTGCACCATTCAAGAGAAATTTACAGAGCCACAGTTGTTCACACTGGTGGTGACAGAAACACTTTTAATACATCCTTCACAGAAAGTTGTTACATATATTGGTAATACATATATATGTTGCCTGATGTCTGAGACATTGAGACATATGAAACTACAAACAGTAGTTTTGTGAGACATATTTTTTATAAGCCATTCTTTTTTACTCAGCGTTAATCACTATTAACATTACATAAAGAAACCCAGAAAACGTGTGGGTTCACCGACTGTAAATAAAATGGCTATATTTGATTTGTAGACGTTGTGACCCCTGGTTCCCATCACCACCACTGTAAACAAATTTGAGACTGTAATTTTTTCTACAATGCTTTGTTTCACCGCAGACCATTCTGAATTACATTAATTACATCTCAACAACTGAATTAAGTAGAAAAATCAGTGGAATTCCCCTTCAGTGTCAACTACAGCAAACAGTCACTTTTCAAATAAGTACGTAGAGTTTTGTAGCAAAGCACTGTAGAACAGTGTCTGTGATAATCAATCTGTTTAGAAAGTGCAGGTAGGTTCAGGTCAGATAGTGGAGACAGGTCGGGCTCGAGATTTGATTTCATGCCCGTGCAGACCTCTAGTAGGAGCGCATACATCGGCAGTAATTACTTTATTGATGCATGTACTGTTTTTTTGCAATTACACAGGTGTTTTAGAGAAAACTCAGATGGTTTTTCTAGTTTATGCACAAAATAAAGAGGGCCAAATGGAAAAATGCTGAAGTTCTGACTATTCTTGATAACAGGATGTAAATAGAATGAAAATATCATTAATTACGTAAATAACCATGTAATTAGGTATATAAGAAATTACATTTAAATAGTATGCAAAACAACAGTAATAACTACACTTATATGGTAATTCAAGCTGGACATTAATCAAACAGGCAAATTTGGAGAAGATGATTTCGAGATGATGTGCTTTTGGGCCTTAAAGAAGGCATCTAAGCATGAAAAGACAGAAAGAACAGATATCAAGTGTCATTTTCATATTGATTACATGTATCAGGCAGCTATTATAGTTTATGCATGCAATTTTCCTGCTTGCCCCAGTTTTTCAGGTTTGGAAGGCCTCAGGCTACAGCTCAGTGTTTTGTAGTAATGATGGTAATGATATGAATGATTGTTGGGTAATATGATCTGGGCTACAATAGAGAAGCAGAAGAGAGCCAGCACTCACCTCTTTCTCTCCACAGATATTGCTGATGATAGAGTTGGACGCCGGGCTGGCAGAGGGGCCGAGGACCGCCACCACCCCCTTAGACATGATCTGGCACACTGTCAGTGAACAGCAGAAAGAGCAGCAGTCACATACTTCAGCCAGACTCCACAATTTGGCAGCATTAACACAAGCTCAGATCCACAGTGGTAGATATGGTTACCACTGTTTCTTCTATGATACTGATACTCAAACCTTTCAGTATCGTCTGATACCGATACCAAAATGGGTAATGTGACAATATATTACTTTTTTTTGAATGTATTGTGGGTGTTGCCAGTACTAAAACACTCAACAACAGCATATCAGCTAAAAGTGATTTGGTGTAATTATAGAGAGCCTGTAAACAACAACAACAACGAGTAGCATGATCCATTACGCCTTTATCAACTGTATGTTTTTTCCTCCTGTTCTTCCTTCTGAAAATGTCAAATAAAAAACATCAGTTTAATCATAGTTTTTCAGAGCCCTGTTTAAACGTGCAGTTCTGTTTTGCTGATGCATTTTGTCCATTCCAACTTGTTTTCAAACAAAGTATTGTCATGTTATATTCTGGCATATTGCCCACCCTTGCAGATCTGATACTTTATTCTAAACTATTAAGCTTTAAACTGAGTTATTTTTATTCAAATACTGCACTTAAGATAGTAATCTAAAAGATGCACTCCTCAAAACTGCCCGACCACTCTACTGACCTACTGGACAAAATATAGAGCAGGATTTATATAAAAATCAAATGTGAGTAAAATTACACAATTACCCAAATATCAAATAAAATCAGCTGCAAGTGTTATATAACCGTTCTTTTTCTCCTCTGATATTTATCTGATACAGCTCCTATCAGCCTGATACTGATACGGGGTATCAGCTAGGCAGAGGTGGCTCCACAAAGTTAATTCCAAAGAAGTAGTGTTTTAAAAATTTTGAAGTGTATTTAAACAAAAACAGTACAAGGACAAGATTTATAATGTCTTATTAAATTAATTATTTGTTATAAATATATGATCATTCTGAAATTGATGTCTGCAACATGTTTCCAAAAAGTTGAAAGAGAACCAATTTAAGACTAGGAAAGTTGTGAAATGCTCCAAACAGGTGATGTTTAAGTATAAATGTAGCATCCAGTACAGTCTAATCCAAAAAAGCATCAGCAAAAAATCCAACATTTAAATACTGTTCCTCAGTGAGGGACTGCAATGCAGTGCATCCAGAGAAATCTCTGTGCATAAAGAAAAAGGGAAAAACCACAAATGAATGCCTGTGACCTTTGACCCCTCAGAGAGCACAGCAATAAAAACCAGCATGTTTTTGTGACGGATATAACCACAAAGGAAGGACTACTTTGAAAACCACTGTAAATAAAGACTGTTTGTTGCTGCATCCAGTGCTCAGAAACACCACTGACTTCTCTGGGCTCATGTTCCTCAGAGAGTGCAGGTGCTAGACTGGCCATCCCGCAGTCTAGACTTTCCACTGAAAAAGTGTGTCTTATTAAGTTCTAAAAACAACAACAAAGGCCCAAGATTGCTGCACAGCTGAACATAGTAAAACAAAAACAGCAAGTAAAAATGCTTTCAAAACTGATTCAGTTGGTGTCTTCAGTCAACACACATTTATTAAGTGTTGTTAAGAGGAAAGGTGATGTAACACAGTGGTAAACATAATCTCGTCCAAATTTTTTGGAACCTGTTGTAGACATCAAATTTGGAATAAGCCTATATATACAACAGTGACGTTCATAGGGTAAATCATTAAATACTGTGTTTTTGTATCATTGTCAATTTAATACAGGTCAAACAAAATGTATTAATCACTGCTTTAAGTTTTTATTAGCATTTCACATTAGCACTCCTAGGGGGTAGAGGGAAGGATGGTATCAGGTTACAGAGCTGCACAGAAAGTTTGTGAACTTCAGCTTCAGTGCATTAGATCCTACTAAATAATGATATTACTTGGCCCTAGCTATTTTGATTAGATTTCTGATTATTTTTGATTAGATTTATAATAAGATTTGAATATTATTTTTATCATTTGATTTTTTCATGGTTTATCTTTTATTTATATTTAATATGTCAATATCATTTATTTGATAAATTGATTGATTTGAGTTATATTATTATTGAAGATTTTGGCATTAAAATAGCTGTTTGAAAATAATTCTCTCTGTTTACTTTTAAACTATTTACAATGTGTAGGTCTGAGGGAGTGCCTGGGCGGATGTGTGTGTGTGTGTGTGTGTGTGTGTGTTTGGGGGTCCTGGTTAAGGCCCCCACAAGGCTAGAGAAGACCCTGCAGATGGGATGCTGCTATCTGTACTCCTTATTAGTCCAGGCTCAGAAATAATCAGCCAAAACCAGTGAAGACAACACATAATTACACAACATTTCACATGAAACCCAAATGATTCCAAATATAGAAGCAGTGAGTTTCAAATAGCAGCCAATAACAACATCCCACCCATCAGTGTGAGTCTGATCTGCTCTCTCACACACAAACACATCCCCAGTACACACACACACACATACACACGGCTGTGCTGCAGCAGTAACTGACCCGTGGAAAAAAGTGCATCCCAAATTACTCTGGCAGTCAGGAGGAGGGGAAGAGCACAAAAACAGAAACAGTTTGTTTCTCCTTCCTGCACACGAGTTTGCCTCTAATCTTCCTTAGCACTGCAACAGAATGTCATTTCAGGTGGGGTTATAATCCCCCTATTTTAATTAAGATTGTATGGGCAGAGTAGAAAGACCCTCAGAGTCAGAGAGAGAGAGAGAGAGAGACAGAGAGAGAGAGATTGGAAGAGAAAAGGCAGGTCAATGAGAGACAGAGTAAGAGAGGGGCGAGAAGGAGAGAGAGAGAGAGAGAGAGAGAGAGAGAGAGAGTAAGAGGGAGAAACAGACAGAAAGAGAGTGAGAAAGAGAGAATCAGCTGAAAGAGGGAGAGGGAGTGAGAGAATGAGAGAGAGAGAAGCAGCTAAAAGAGAGAGAGAAATGGAGAGAGGGAGTGAAAATGAGAGAGAGAGAGAGAGAGAGAGAGACAGAAGCAGCTGAAAGAGAGAGGAAGTGAGAGATTGTGTGAGAGGAAAGTAGAAGCGGGAAAAGGGAGTGAGAGAGAGAGAAGATGCTGAAAGAGAGAGACAGGGAGTGAAAGAGAGAAAGATGCAGCAAAAAGAGAGAGAGAGAGAAGCAGCTGAAAGAGACCGAGAGAGAGAGAAGCAGCTGGAAGAGAGAGAGAGAAGCAGCTGAAAGAGACTGAGAGAGAGAGAGAGAGAAGCAGCTGGAAGAGAGAGAGAGAAAAGCAGCTGAAAGAGAGAGAGAGAGAAGCAGCTGAAAGAGAGAGAGAGAGAAGCAGCTGGAAGAGAGAGAGAGAAAAGCAGCTGAAAGAGAGAGAGAGAGAAGCAGCTGAAAGAGAGAGAGAGAAAAGCAGCTGAAAGAGAGAGAGAGAGAAGCAGCTGAAAGAGAGAGAGAAGCAGCTGAAAGAGAGAGAGGGAGTGAAAGAGAGAGAGATGCAGCTGAAAGAGAAAGAGGGAGTGAAAGAGAGAGAGAAGCAGCGAGAGAAGCAGCTGAAAGAGGGTGAAGGCAGCAGAGCACAGCGTGGAATTCACACAGTCTAAGACGGGAAATTAGAGGAGCAGTGAATCAAATGATTAATAAATAATCCTTTAATCACCAATGAAAGAGCGCTCGTTCGTCCATTCATTCGTTCATTCGTTCGTGGTTTGCTGTGTCTCTCCTGCTGGTGTAACAGCGCCTCAGTCTGAGCGAGGCTTCAGCCGTAACCTGCTTCTGCACACACTCTGCTGCCCTTATCTCACTCCACAGGAGCGACACTCTACTGAGCCACACAGTGCAGAGTCCCAGCATTACAGAAGACCATTAAAACCCTGTTTACACCTGATCCTCTCACACATCCTGACTATCCCTGACAGAACCAGCACATCACTCCCACAGCGGAATAATCACGTTCTTTAATCACACGCAGTTTAGACACTGTTAAAAATAAAAGCGCCAATGGAACCAAAAGGGTTCTTTGGAGTGAGGAACTAAAAGAACCACTTTTGGTTCCCTGTAGAATCTTTCAATGGATGGTTCTTTAATACACCATTTTAGTAAATGAAACAAATGAGTGTGAAGAACCTTTTTAAAGTTTAAAGAACCTCCACTAATTAAAGGTTTACCTAAAATTTCCAGTTTAACCTTTATTTTTAAAATGTTCACAAGTTTTTCATTTTATTTTCTTACTTTTTAAAATACATTCATTGGGATTTGTCCCTCCGATTTAGTCATGGCCAATTGCACCCAATTTACCAGACAATGGTACTAACCTTGGAGGGTGAAGGCTGGAACGTGCTTCCTCTAAGACCATCTATTCTAACAAATATGTCATTAGTGAGGCTGCAACTATCAAATACTTTCGTTTTTGAAGAATCCATTGAAAATTCTCTCAAATATTTGAAAAAGCTCAAGACATGTTTCCTTTTAATAACTGAATGCATTCTTATTTGTATATGTATTAGTACAATAAATATGTATTTATTCATCTTTTTAATAAAATGTAATACTTTGAGAGCTGGGTTTCCATTCAAATGTTTTGCATATTTTAAGCAAATATCCAAAAAGTCAGTAAAAGAAAATTAATTAATTAGTGTTTTCTCAACTACTTTCTGCTCAAATACCTGAAGATGATGTCACATTCTCATGCTGCACAGAGTGAGACAAGAGTCTTGCTCACCACACATGGACAGATTCAAACCTTGATATTACAGCTCTCTTTTTACAGCCCTCTGTTCACTGTACATGGCTGTAGTTCAGAAACGCTGGACAGGCCGGTTACTGGCTCATTTAAAGAGGGCTGAAGTCATCTCCACTTCTCTATCGCCCACTGAATTCCAGTGAACACCACCACAGCAAACTGATCTGATAGGACTCAGGGCTGAACACATGACTTTAGTTCCTGCTATATCATAGCTTATTTTCCATCACCATTTTTTGCATTTCTCCTTTATCAGCAATTCAAATATGAAATGTGATATGAAACAAAATGACAGAATGCACACTCT